GGCTACACACAAGTCCCTATGTAACTCCCCTGAGTGACTCCATGAACAGGCTGGGGACCCCACATGTGCGCCTTTCTGGTTCCCAGCTGCAGCCCAGCGCCCAGGGGGCGGCACCAAGGCCTCGCTCAGCTGTTCTTTCTCATGCTTTCCACAGCTGAGGCTCTACCACATGTGCACAGAGCCCCACTGAGCCACTGGCCTTCCTAAACTGGCCGAATTTCTGTTGCCAGCAGGTCATGGAACCCTGCAGTCTGCACTCTGCGGTGGCTGCTGAGACGCCTGCTTCTGCTTGGCCTCCCTCTGTCCCCCCCACTTCTCCCACCACTGAGTGAGTCGGAACCTCCTTACTTCCTGCCTCCTACCTAGGCCCCCTTCTCAGTTTCTCTTCCTCCCCTAAGCCGGCACCTACTCTGTGTCAGGGAAATTTATTTTATCGTGCTCACATATTTCGACTTGGTCACGTGGCTCTGGGCCTCTCCTTGTCTAATAATTATTTCACGAATACTCCATCATTTTAAGAATGCTTCAGAGCACTCAGACTTCTGGTCTGGTCCATGTTTCCAGCAGACTGGGTGAAAGGGACGGCTGAATTAAGAAAGAAGCGTAACAAGGAAGACACCAATCATGGCTTCGAGGAGGCTCCTGTTCAACAGACACTGGCCCACAAAGGAAAAGCTTCAGGAAAAGTTGGAGGCAATAACTAGGACAACTATCAGGAAAGGTTGGGACGGTTCTACTTTAATGGTGTCCATACTCCTCGTCATAAAGGAGGTGGAGGCATCCGTCCATACAAAGTGAAAAAGAGTTGGAGGTTTAGAAATAGCGGGCAGAGAGTATTTAAGGACTTGCAGCGCGCTGGGCCTCAGGTTCCAGGGGCTCTGCTGGCCGCAGCGTGGCTGTCACGGAGGAGCACCGGGTCTGAGGGCAAGATCACACAGCAGCGCTCAGAGGAATGTGGGCCGCCTCTCGGCAGGCGGGCGCGGGCGAGCGAGGCTCAGGCAGCCCTGCCGGCCTCGGGAGCCGGCTGCGCCCAACACTCCTAAAATGCGCGTTACAGAGTCCTGGCACCCTCGTGAGCAACTTTACTTTCTGCACCATTTTTCTAACCTGAACAAAATCCTACAACATCTGTAAGACATTCTGAGGAGGCGAAACTGCCAAGCTTCAAGTCTTTCTCGTCACTTTTTGAATTTTTAGCTGAAAAGCTTTATGAAAAAATATACTGTGGCAAATAAAAGGAGAACGCGGCCGCAGTACACACACTGTTTTAAATCATTTGAAAGCATAGAGAGGAATTTTAAAAGAACAAACTCTGAAAATCACTGTGAAAGAAACAGATTCCTCTCAGAAAGTTTAGCAACCTGTTTGACAGCCCTCCTCTGGGAAGCACAAGTGTGTGCTGGCCTCCGCCCAGAGCGAGCAGCCCAGGAGGCCTGGCTCCCCGGGAGACCCGAAGCTGGCGGGGCTGCCTGTCCCCACCAGGACATCTCAGGCTTTAACGCAGGCAACAAGCACGGGCGCGCCTGTGTGCTTCAAGTTCCCAGTGTACCAGCGCCTGCAGAGCGAGGGCCAAGAGCTGAGCGCGCAGGAAGGCTTCAAGTTCCCAGTGTACCAGCGCCTGCAGAGCGAGGGCCAAGAGCTGAGCGGGCAGGAAGGCAGGAAAGCGGGAAGGACCGAGGTAAACACAGAGGAAGGGGACGAGGCTGCGGAGAAAGCAGGCCTGCGGTCCGAGCCGCCCGCAGGGAGACTCCTGCCCCCGACCCGCCCCGCCCCGCCCCGCGGTGCCACTTGAAAGCGCTGTGTGGCTCCTCTCCTGTCCCTGTCATCGCTCCCCTCCACTCTCCTGAGGCCAGTCATGTCCTGAAACCCCTTATTTGTACTTCTTCAAGATCTCACGTTTTGGTTATGCCTTGGCTCACACTGCTCCTAACCTGAGCTCTAGTTCACCTTAGGGACCACTCAGCCACCCATGTGGATGCCGCGCCCTCGCTCTTCAAAGATGGATAAAATGAAGCAGCACCTCTTCCCTCCGCGCCCCACCCACATGCG